TTTCATTTTGTTTTTCTGGAACAGTCATATAGGTAAGAGTACACAACATACATTTTTATTTGCTAGATTATTTTTTTCTTTGTCATGGTATAATACATGTATAAGCATTTTAGAACAGAGAAATGCAACTTGCTATTACCTGTAATGTTGGATGCCCCTCTAAAAGCAATCCTATTCTAATAAAATTATTGTTTCAGTTTTGCATGTAAATAAGTTATGCTTGCAGTTATATCCATGGAATTTGATACTGTCACAAATATGTAAAAGAACCTCTCCCATGCACTAGTTACCAGATCTAACAAATGCTCTGACAATATAAATACCGACATTTATTCTTCAGCATCATGTTGTTCTTTGCTTTTATCAATGGACTGGTATCACATATTTCGTTTTACTTGAATAGACTTCTGATCTTTTAAAAAATAAAATAAAATAAAATAAAATAAAATAAAATAAAATAAAATAAAATAAAATAAAATAAAATAAAAAGACAAGGATTTTAGAGATAGCTCTCTCTACCAAAAAATAAAAAATAAAATGTCAACAGACATGAAAAATATGTTTAAGAGCCAGTATAAAGGTATTGAGTGTATGTAAACTTTAACTACCCAGGAAATAACATTCTCCTCTTATACCATACCAATCCCCTACAGTCCCTGCATGGGACAAAAAATAGGGAAATGGCTCAGGCTAAGATATACTGATGTATTGGGCCGTATGCTTCTACCCATTGGTTAAAAAGAAATCTGTTATGGTCTCTCATAAGTAGCCTGTATATGAATAAGATCAAGCTTAGCTTTGATTTTTTCAATTTATTTATTTATTTATTTATTTTTAATGATCATATCTTCCTTTAGATAATGAATTATGAATCTGAGATGCAACTATGGAAACATTTTTTGTATATAAGGTTATGTTAATAAACGGTTCTGATGTATCTAATATTGTGTTCACCTTCTACAAATGTTTTAATTAACTGCCATGAGTACTCTGACCACCAGTGTCATTTTCTGTGGAGATGCATGGTGAACTAAACCAAAGTGATCTTTAGAGACCATCTGACATGTTTCACTGCACTGTAAACTCTTGTACCATAACAAATGGGAGGGAGTGGGGCACTGAGAGAAGACAGAAAATCAGAAGCTGTCACTGAGAAAAACCTCCACGTGACTTAAATTCAAGTCTTAACAATAGATTTAGACTGCCTGACAAACTTGGAGAGAAACAGTTGTGACACTTAAATTAGGCATGCACAGCAGGTGATCTTAGCATAGACCTGTGCACTGTAAGGGGTAATGAGATGCGTCGATCAAGTCCTCCCAGCCACAGAAGATCTGCATGTTATTCCTCTTCAGTGTGAACTGGTACAAGAGCTTCATAGGGTATCAGATATATTGTCTCTGGCATTTCACATTTACAAGTTCGAAAATGAGTAAAAGATAAAATTTCCAAAAGGCAGACGTAATTTTTTTCTGTATCTGAAAGTCAAGCAGAATTTTTGTTTGTGCATCAACAGCAGGCAAAAAGAAAAAAAAAAAAAAAAAAAAAAAAAAGTTAGAACTTTATTAATAGCTAGCTAAGCTTTCAAAAACCATAATCTGTTTTTTCTTAGAGCTACATTAGCCTAATGTAGGTAGAAAAAAGTTTTGTTGCTGTTCCTGTTGCCTTCAGATGTGTCAGAACACAGAAAAAGAGCATAATTGCATAATTTGATGAATAAGATTCATGTTTACACAATTATTTCAGATTAGAGCTGAATGTTCAAAAAATAATTAACACACACACACACACAAAACAACAAACCAGCAACAAAAACAAAAACTCTGAGGCAGAGATAATATCACCATTTACGTGATACTTCCAAGAAGATGCTATGAAAATTTTAATGCTAATCTGAAATTTTAGATAGGTAAATCTATTATAATCTGAACATATAAGTCATCTGAGTAAACATATGAAAATATCAGTATAGAGAAATAAATTAAATTTTGTATGTGTATCTCTCTCTGTCTCTTTCTCCAGCCTTTGCATGGTTATAGTGGAAAGGAAAGGAAAGGAAAGGAAAGGAAAGGAAAGGAAAGGAAAGGGAAGGGAAGGGAAGGGAAGGGAAGGGAAGGGAAGGAGGGAAGGGAAGGGAAGGGAAGGGAAGGGAAGGGAAGGGAAGGGAGGAAGGGAAGGGAAGGGAAGGGAAGGGAAGGGAAGGGAAGGGAAGGGAAGGGAAGGGAAGGGAAGGGAAGGGAAGGGAGGGAAGGAAGGGAAGGGAAGGGAAGGGAAGGGAGGGAAGGGAAGGGAAGGGAGGGAAGGAAGGGAAGGGAAGGGAAGGGAAGGGAAGGGAAGGGAAGGGAAGGGAAGGGAAGGGAAGGGAAGGGAAGGGAAGGGAAGGGAAGGGAAGGGAAGGGAAGGGAAGGGAAGGGAAGGGAAGGGAAGGGAAGGGAAGGGAAGGGAAGGATTAGGAAGAAACGGAAAGGAAAAAACACGGAAAGTGAAAGAAAGTAATAGAAAGAAAAAAAAGGAAAAAAGAAAGAAATGAAGCGAAAAAAAAAATTAAAGGAAAAAGAGAAGGAAGAGAAGAAAAAGAAGAAAAATCCAGAAGAAAGAGAAAAAAGAATATATAAAGAAGAGAGTAAGAGGAAAGAAGGCGCAGACGAGAGATCGAGGGCGAAGCCGAAGGGAGAAGGAAGAGAAAGAGAAGAAGAGAAGAGAGAAAGAGAAAGAGAGAGCGAGAGAAGAAGAAGAGAAGAGAAGAGAAGAGAAGAGAAGAGAAGAGAAGAGAAGTAGCTTAATCTTACCAAATAAAAATATCATAAATTTGTGAAAGGTTGTATTTTTATAATTATTCATTTATTCAAGTATTTTTTTCCAAGTAACTGTACTAAGAAATTATTCCTTACAAGTTTCTCTCACCTTATGCTCACTTCTTTTTATTGTACTGAAACCAGATACACAACTTTAATAGTAATATCCTTTGCAATTTCAGTATAAACATCATTTGAATGAGTCGTCTATCTGAGAAATGACACGTTGAGTAAAACATTCCTACTTTAAACCATATCAGCTGCAATACATAAAAAGCCTACTCAAAACAAAACAAAAATAATCTCATTCAACAAAGTTTGTTTGTTATCTTTTATTTTTAGATTCAGAAAAGTTTGTACTCTTAAGATGTTGAGTGGAAACAAATGAAAGCATTTACAACAACCTAGACCTCCATGCTATTTCTTAGGTCACCTGGAGATCTCAATAGCTGCCCTGTGCTGCCTTTATGATTTTGCTGTTGAGAACAGCCTCTTCATACCAAGGCTACTGAAGCTGACTGGCTTGATCCATACTGAATACTGTCCACTATTTTTTGTTGGTATAGATGTTTTTATACAGTATTGTAATGATCACTAGTTTAGATTTTTTGTTTGTTTTTTACCTTCTAGTTTTCCTGTTACATTCTATTTTTGTACTCATTGCTTGCCAATGACTATTCCTCAATTCATTTTTGGGTTTAATACAGGCAACATTTAAGTTTTTGTTGTTGTCAATTATTTTTTGTGTTGTTGATTATTTTTGTTGTTGTCTGTTTTGTTGTTTTACAGTTGCCAACCTTGGAGTGACAATTAAACCGTGTTTCCACAGATTCCTGTAAGGCTGTCTCTCTTGCAAGGTAGTCTTGAGACAAATTGCCAAAGAGCGTAGGTCCCTATGTTCCTCAAGGCCAGGCTGGATGGAGCCTTGGCCAACCAGATCTAGTGGGTGCCATCCCTGTCTGTGGCAGGGGAGTTGGAATTAGATGATCTTTAAGGTATCTTCCAACCCAAGCCTTCCTATGATTCTATGATTCTTTCCTTATTCTGAGATATTTAAAAAAATATATAGTTCTTTAAGAAACAAGAATATTTCTTTATGGCACATTAGATATAGTGAAAGAACTGTGTTGGAGTCTGGTAGACCTACGAGTCTAAGCAATGATGTAATGTGTGGTGGTACCTAGAGAGGGTTAGGACAGGATGGGGGGAATCTGGTCTACAGGTTGTTGAGGGAACTCCAGACTTACTACAACTGTATTTGTATTGCCTGTGGCAGTGGTCCAAAATCTAGATGGTTCATATCTGTCTGGAAAGAAAAGACCTAGTTTTCCACTCGAGAAAGAATCTTAGAAATGGCAGTGTAGAAAATAAGGAACAGGACATAAACAAATGAAGCAGTAAAAGAGTAATAACATCTGAAGAGGCCTTAGGATATAATTGCTATAATTATTTGAAAATGAGGCTTGTATTTCTAAGGTGTTATAGAATAAACTGTAATCTTGACCACCCAGTGCTACCAGTAGGTACTTTAGTTTCATAAGTGTAGAATGGGAATTAAGTGCTTTGGGTTATCAAATCTTGAGTATTGCATATTGTTAGAATTCTCCAGTTAAGAATATCTTATACAAAGATTTATTTCATCTCCCTTGAAGGAACTGGTACCTTTTAAAATATATATATAAAAAAATAAAAATAATAATAAAAAAAAATAAAGGTGTTTACCTAGACAGATTACTGGTTTGAGCTGAAAAACAAAATGAATGAAATCAGATTTTCTTTCCCTGAATTATCAATGTCATAATTTCATTGTATGCTGAGATGATAAGTGAAGTTGGAGGACTGATTTACAAAAAAAAAAAAAAAAAAAAAAAAACAGAAAAAATAAAGAGGTCAAGTAAAATCTATACCCTGGCAAACATGCTTATATAATGATATTTGCCTAGGCATGGAATTGCTCTTAGGAATGTTCATTTGCTTTTCTAAACATTATTTTTGTTCACCTGAATGTTATCTTGTGTTTACTAATGACTAATGAATACATTTGGAAATAAAAATATTTATATATGTTTCTTTATATTTATCTCATATAAAATTAATTGCTTTTGCAGTCGAGGAAGAGTTCTAGATAGGAGGTTAGTGCATACAATACTATACTTTTTTTTTTCTTATTTTTTTGCTCTTGTGAAGGAAAAAATAACTGCAAAATATTCTTAAATGATTTATTGTGAAAATGACATAGGAATTAGTCATGCAGGATAATCAAATCTTATAACAGTTATATATAATATACCATTAGTACTGTGCAACATTTTAGCTTACTTCATGTTATAAAGTGTAAGAACCTGAGCTGCAATTCGGACTGTGATTCAGATTTGCATTCATGTGTCACCATGTCAACTAGTTAGCTAAGGTCCAGGTGTGGATGATGGAGATCTGACATACGATTCACTGGCCCACACATAGATACCTAGATCTATTTGAAATACTCTAGGTCATTTAGCCACCAGCTGCAACTCCACGCAGAATCCTTTTAAGGAAGCCTCTGAAATTTCTTTTAAGTCCTGCATTCTGATGAGGATGCCTTGGATGCTTGAGGAAATCTCAGGTTGAACTAGCCAGACACTTTTGGGCAGCTGAGTTCTTTTCTTAGGTGTCTGCTATAATAGGGCTTCATTGACTGTGTTGACAAGGGCCTCGGGTCTCTTGCTCATAGAAAGACTTGAGCCCCTTTGTAACAGCAGCTTGATACCTGGGCAATTTTCTCACAGCATCTCAACTGGCATTAATTGCTGGTGTTTTAACAACTAAATGTTACCTTGCTTTTTCACTGACTGTAATGACAGCATAGATACGTATAAAATATATAAACATCTGTATGTAGACGTATAGATTGAGATAACATAGGATTGAATCCAAGCCCCACTGTTGTTCACAGATAAAATGCAATAATTTGTATGTATGTGTATACATACAAAGTATAAATATGTAGTTTTTCTGAGCTGTGAAAAGTAATCCCTACCAAAACTATCTGAGTTTACACTGTGTTTGTTTGCTGGTTTGTTTGTGGTTTGTTTTTCTTTTTAGTGCGAGAAGGACAAATTCTACATTTTCTGTTTTACAGGATTCTCTTAGATGAAGATAGGAGTTTAAATACAAAACTCATAAAGTGCTGTGCAACTCTTTCATCGGATGATATCACTTGTTTGTAGGGTTGTGATTTGCAGCACAGAGTCCACATGGAGAGACCAAGTTGTTCTTGGTTTACCCAGGAGTTGATACTATTTAATTTTTTAATGAGCTAGGCAATACAACAGCAAGTTCTCACAAATGATACAAAACTGGAAAGATCAGTTGATATACCAGATAGTTGTTATTGCCATTTGCAGGGGTGTTGCCAGGATGGAGGGATGGACTGACAGAAACTTCATAAAGCTCAACAAAAGGAAATGCCAAGTCCTCCATCTGGGGAGGAATACCTCCATGCAACAGTGCATGCTGTTGCTGACTGACTGGAAAGCAGCTTTGTAAAGGAGGACCTGGAGTCCTGCTGGACAGCAAGTTGAACATGACACAACAAAGTCACATGAAAGCAAAAGCAACCAACAGCTTCCTGCACTGAATTATGGAAATCATTGCCACAGGTCAAAAGAGGTGATGTCTACTGAGATTTTTACATGATGAAGATTTTGAAATCATGAAGATTTTTTAATGATGGGAACATCTTTCATTCAATGGGGAGGCTGAGAGATCTGGGACTGTTCAGGCTGGAGAAGAGAAGCCTCAGGGGGATCTTATCAATGTATATAAGTATTTGAATGGAGGTTGCAAAGAAGGTGGTACCCAGTAACAGGACAAGAGGCAATGGGCACAGACTGAAATAGCATAGAATCATAGTGTAGGTAATATTAAATGTTTTTTTTTTAAAAAAAGTGCTATGATTGTTCAAGCAATGGAAACAGTGGCCCAGAGAGGCTGTACAGTTTCCATTGTCAGAGATATTCAAATACCAGTTGGACTTGTCCTTGGGCAACTTTTTCTAGTAGACTCTGCTGTGAGCTTAGGGTTGCTCTGGATGAGCTCCAGGGGTCCCCTCCACAGTTTTGTGTATCTGTGATTTTGTGGTCTCGTTTTACAAATCTCTTTTAGTGGGTAATATTGGTGGTAGGGGGATGGTTGGACCAGGTGATCTTAGAGGTTTTTCCCAACCTAAATGACTCTATGATTCCATGGTAGTCAACTTATTTTTTTACACAAAATATTGGTAAAGAAAACATAATTTTGCATGAATATACAGATGTTACAAAAATATAGGAAAAATATTATATAAACAACTTTGTTAATATTTATGCCTAAAGTCAGAGAGGCTGATGTTATGTAACCTGTCATAAATATTACTTTATCCACCAGATCCTTTATTCTAGGCTTGTGACTAGGGATAAGCAGACGACAATGAAACATATATCACGACAGAGCTAAACAGTTACCAAAGACTGAGAAATAATGTTACCAAACTCATCAGCATAAATGTCATGTAATCAGCCATTGTTGTACTTCCTACTCCAGTTGTGTCTAAAGTGCTGCCATCGTTGGTTTGATGGATTCGTTTTACATCACTGAGGTTCATCTTGTCTGGCACCCCTGCTGAGACAAATAAGAAAGTACAGTATGATGCCTTGTCACTACTAGCAACATGCTATAGCTAGAAAAAAAAAAAAATATATATATATATATTCTCAGCACATGGACTGTCACAGCTTGGTTTCTGATTCCCATGATACTGCCAAATTCAAAATACTTTATAATTGCATCTAAAAACACAAACACTATACTATATGGCTATTCATCGTTGAAAGTAATTCAGAGGCCTGCCAGCTCTGAACAAAACTGTTCTTGTAGAAATATATCTCAACAAACATTTGCAGTCTGAAATGAACAGTTTTGCAAGTCCCAGCTGTACCTAAAAGACCACTGCTCACACTTTCTTGGATTTGAAGGAAAAGGGAAATAATTTAATGTCAAATTGCTTGTGTCTACATCCAAATAATATTCCAAAACAACGTATACTTGATGCAGGGTATATAACAAACTATGTTTGTTGCTATATAAACCCCCCTTTTTTGGCATAATTTAAACAGACTTTAAAACATTGTAAGGCAAAATTGTAAATGTAACTTTAAACAGGAAACCTTTTACTGAGTTCCGGCTGAATATTTTTACAGCTTTGGACCAAAATATATATTTCTCCATCTCAAAACAGTGCTTTTTATAAAACAAGTATGTAATCACCCATTTTATTTCCTCTTCATGGTGAAATAATCAGAAGGGCTTGGAGACATTTTTAGATTTGGAAGCATTGTCTGCTACTTGTATTTTCTATTCATACTTCTAGACTGTCTGATCCCATATAGCAACTTGTGGCATGCCACTATCAATCAAAATTAACAGATTTAAGTCCAGTGTTATTACATGCAACAAATATTGACATTGTAATTACACTGAGACTGAAAAAGCCTTTATATAAAGCAAAGTCAATATTTATGTAATTAGGTCAATACATATATAATTCAGAAGGTAAGCTCTACTGTTGGAACAGCACTACTAGAATGAAGCTCAGCTCTACTGAGCTGACATTGATTTTACAGACTGTTTCTGCATTATTATTCATTGTGTAGGTACTTATTTCCTTTGTATCATTAGTAAAGTTGAGTAAACTACTGATTTTTTATTTTATTTTTTTAAGGGACTGTGATGAAGTATAAATATTTTAGTCATGGATTTTTCCTCTTTGTTAAGCTAGTTTAACAGAAGCTACAAAGAATCACTGTGTTTGAAAGGAACAACTTTTTTGGTGCTTGTGTTAAAAATACTCTTTTCTGTAAAAGCAGCTTGAAAGCTGCTCTTTGAGAACTTGCTGTATGTACTTAAAATCTCCTTCCTGTAGCTTTGAAAAACTGCATTAAGGGAAGAGTCAGATAAAGTCAATCATGTTGTCTGAAAAACCTGCTAGAATGAATTTGTCTTCTTTGCTGCTGTACTCAGACAGCAGAATAGACTGCTATTTTGTGTGGATTTATTGATCCAGTGCTCTTGCCTGGAATTTGTGAAAATTAGCTCCATGAGTACAATGAAAGTGGACACACAAGGAGGAAGAGCAACAATAGAGGCTGAGAAGGAGTGAATAAATTCCTTCTTATCATGCACATTCAGTAGTAATCTGTCTAGAAAAAGATCAGTCACTCAGCACTTCACTGAATGGATGTTTGGTAGATCAAAATGTTTTTTGTTTGTTTGTTTGTTTCAAGGATGTTTTAGAAGTAGAACCAAAAGGATTTGGGGGGGAGCAGGTGGGGAGGGGTGGGGGAGGTGTCATTTCTCCAGAGCATTAGTGAAGAATCCCCTTATCTAAAAATTTCAACAGTCAAAAAAAAAAACACCTCTAACATGTACAACAAAAAAGTTCACCAAGTGCTATAGGTATAACAAAGCAGATTTCTCCCAGTGTATTTACAGATAATCTATCACATGAAATGTAGGGCCTTATCTTAAATATCCAGAATTTTATCTATTTATAATTAAAGGTAATTGCCAAAACAAGGAGAATTTCTAGATTTACACTTAAAAAACAGTGGTCTTCAACTAGAGTGTGTGATCTGAATCCGAAGAAAATGAGACAAGTTATTAATTACTAACTGAAGAGTCATCTTTAATAGCTAGTGAAGATTTCATTAACAATAATATGGAAAATACAAAAAGAATAGTGTTCGTTTTATAGGACATGTTCTCTCTCTCTCTCTGTTTTTTTATTTTTATTCCCTCTTTCCAACCTGAAATGAAAACTGCAAACTTTAGAAGTTCCAATGAAAAGAGTGTCTATTAAAAATGTTCAGCCATAGCAATACATTTTGCTTTCATCAACTAAAATACCACAGAGTGCTGAATATTTTCTCTGATGTTAAATGGCTATACTTTAAGATTGCAGTATAAACATACAGCAACCCTTTCATCTGTTAAGCCCCATAGATCTATCCCACAAATTTGACTGTATTGAAATGAGAAGTGGAAAAAAATATGCTTAGATATGATCTTAAGAAAAAAAAAATCACTGAACAGAAAAACACTTAAAACCAGTATATTTTAACAGAACCAGTTTTGTTGGTTTCATTGTTGTTTCCCAAAGAACAACGTTGTTTTGTTTTTTTTTTAGTTTTCAGTTTGGATAAGTTTTATTCCTATACCATACTTTATATTTAAATAAGTAAAACTGTTGTCCATTATATACCTGGATTTGAAAACGTATGCCATCTTTCACACATCATAATCAGTCATAGAAGTCATCCTTTCCTCTAAATGAGTGTAACTTTCTTAGTCCACAACAAACTTGTAATAGTTTTAAGACCTATACAAATATTTGTATTTTAAAAAAATAAAAAATAAAAAAAAATAAAAAAGAGCAAATGTTTGGATTTAGTTTCCTCACATTAGACTCTGAAATTTTCTTAAAGAAAATGCATTTAAGATTACCAAATCTTTTAAGTGTGATAAATGTCTCATTTATATCAAAATCATATTAGAGCTAATATTTTGATTGGAAATGGTGAAATTCAGAAATAATATTCAGAGTTCTTTCTGAAGGAAAGCCATAATTGCAGCAGAGCAGAAGATAAATCTCTAGAATCCAAATATAACATTTTAATGAACCTATATAAAGTAAAATAGTCAATGATCACATCTCCGACTGCAGCATTAGCTGTGAAATCCAGTTATTGGCTGCAATTTAAAATTTTCTCTTAGTCTGTTTTAGAAAAGATTAATCAATAAAAGAATTACAGCAAACAGTGTGATATATATAAAAACAACTTATTATAACAGATGCAAAGTATTTCTCATGTTCTTTTAACATCTTTTAAAGATATCTAAAGCTTGTGAAATGTAGTGATACTGACAGCCTTGACACCTGACCTGCTAAATTTTCCAGAATATCTACAGCTGTTATACAATATCCTTTCAATACAGAGCAGCAGATTTTAACTTTGATTTGAAAAGTCATACCTAAAGACATGGAAGATTTTCATTTGACATGGAAATTTTCTATTGAGATTATCAAAATCTTGCAAAAATGGGCTATGACTTTTAAACAGTCTAGAAACCATGCTAGGATTTAAAACTTTTTAAACGTTTTAAACAGAACATCCTTTAATAGTGGCCTGATTTGAAACCAAACCAGGATTTTTTTGTGTATCTGCAGTCTAACCTCAAACATCTTGCTACCTTAACTGCTATTTGTTGGGTAGCATATGCCAGAGCTTAGAAGGCTTTTCAAGGAAACAAGAAGCTAGCAAATGAATTTCTGTGGGAATCTGGTTGCACATAAACCCTATCAAAGCTTTACAGAGGAGGAACTACTGGATTTCCCTCTGTGCATCTGCTATGGTTTAACCCCAGCAAACAGGTGTCCAGCCACTTCCAGGAAAGCAAAGCTCATCATGCACAACAGTTTATCAGGAGGAAAAATGCCATCACTCTGAAAGCCATCCACTTCCTCCTTCTTTACCCCTAAGACATGGAATATATATTTGGTCAGTCTGGGTCAGGTGTACTGACTGTGTCCTCTCCCAGCTTCTGGTGCACCCCCAACTTCCCCACTGGCAGGGCAGCATGAGGAGGTGAAAAGTCCATGGCTCTGTGTAAGCTCTTCTCTACAACAACTAAAACCATTGGTTTATTGTCATGACTATTTTTCACCAAAAATCCAAAACACAGCATTACACTACAAAGAAAAACATCACTCTACAAAGAAAATAAACTATATTCCAGCCAAAACCATGAAAGAATTATTCTTCTTATGACATTCCAGAAAATTCAAAATACAGCTTTTGTGGCACAAGCATTTCTTATGAGCCTCAAATATGAGGAAGAACTTGAGAAAATGGGATAGTGTTTCAGATAGTTAGGAAACTATTCTGCAATGTAGCTTTTACAAGACAACCTTCCTGTGAAGTTGTGTAAAATTCTCCTAAGCAGGGCACATAGTTATTTCAGTCACTATATATATGATCTAAATATCAGGATAACATGTGAGACATGGAAAAAACAAACAAGCAGACAAACAAGAAAAAACAGTTTGATAACTGGTTCAAGCAAAGTCCCAAAATTCAGAAAAAATATCATAAAGAAGATTCAGAAGAGGGTAAAGAGATACATAAAGTTTAAGTGAACAAAAGAAAAGGCTGCTATACTGTAAACATATGTATAATATGAATTTAGAAATGTAATTTACAATAGCGAGATACCTGGAAAAAGACAACATTGCAGGGAGTAGGACATGAATTTATTCATATCAGTAAGGGTCTACAACATTTTGTTGAAACAGAAGCAGGTTGATTTAGGTGCAACTGATAAAGTAAATGGCATAATTTATAGGAAAAGGCAAGAAAGAAGACTAACATAGAGATTAAGAAGAATGAAGGTATGGTGATAACAGAGTAATAGGTTCTGAAACTTATAGATAGCAAGAGCTAAGACTATCTCCTTATTGTTTCAAGAAAATACCAACATTGATGAATATCAACGCATTTTTTTCCTATGAAGGCGAACACAGTATTAGTTTGATTCTTATAATTCACTGTAAAGACATCTCA